TCAGGTATCTTAACACCAATGATCTTGAATGATGTGTTGCAACTTTTTCATGTCCCCGATACAGAGATTACCAAACCACCTGATAAAGCCAACGGAAAGGACAGACTCTACCAACGAGTAATTAAAAAAAGGAAACTGCATACACCAAACCAATTGAGCTTCCAGAGGAAGCGAAATATTGCTGTGCTTTTTTACAGAGTACTTCTGTATTTTAATTTAATCTTAGTTTGTTATCAATAACAATACCCAGGTTCTGGACTCGTTCAACAACTTCTGCATTGATAGCAGTCTAAATGGCTGGATATGATTTGGTTTTATTTACTTTTAAATGGGAATTATCACACCACTCAATAAAATCATCCACCACTGTGTCAGGTGCTGTGTTCTTCCCTTGTAACACTATGTATCACTATGACCGTGTCATCTGCGAACTTCAGAACATGTCTTGGTTAGGAACTTCTGCAGTCGTCAGTGTACACGATGGGTGAAAGGACACAGCCCCGTGGCAGACCAGCGGCAGAGAACAGCATGTCATACACAGAGCCATTCACCCTCACACACTGGGATCTGTCCACAAGAAAGTCCAAAATCCAGCACAAGCTTGTCTTTCGGCAGCCGATCCTACTGTGTATTCATGTTAGTGCAAGTGAGTGCCCTCCTGTCAAACCCATGGCACTCCACACATTTATAGAGACTGGTACAACATTCAGGTGATTGGTCTGCGACCGCAGATAGGCAGGAGTTTGAAGACCCTCCCTCATCACTTAAGTCTACTGTGTGGGAACACTTTAGTTTCACAGTCAACTATAATGATGATGGGCAAAGAAAGGCGGATAGTACAAAAGCTGTATTCAGACATTGTGCAACTGCAATTGGATTTGTAGCTGGTAGCAATCGAACATGCCCACTCGTTTGAAACAGCATCAATTGTAGGACAGGAAAAAACAAGTTCAGTGCAAACCCAGCTCCACGTGGCATTTAATTTAAGCAGCTGCATGCAAATAATTCAGATCGTGTCAAAGTTATAACAAGCGTCATATTTGTTTTTATAGCAGCCGATATTCAACTGTTCTCTGCTGTTGAGAACGCAGGGTTCAAACAGTTGCTGAAAGTAATCAAGCCCTGTTATGAAGTTCCCTCTCATCCGCATTGCATGCCAGCAAGTCACACTGTGGCTGAAACCTGTCCCTAGCATGAGAGAGTGTTCTCCAAAGCGGGAGACATTGTTAATGCCAGCAGGGCATCAAACTCTTTCTGCAAACAACATGGACATGTTAATTATTTGCACAAAAAAAAAAAATGAATACATATTTTTGATAATAACAGTCAGAATTAGCCAGACTATGCTAATTATGCCAGTCATACTAACTAGTTGCTAGCCGCCTGTAGGCTAAGAGCGTGCATTAAAAAACCCATTTGGCAGAAAATGTATTTATTGACTCTAAAGAACATAAGAACGTGTATGTCTCCCCTAATCTCAATGTCCACACTTTAATCTGTAATTATACAAAGTCCGTTTCAGTCTCCCCACAAACCCAGTTCAGTTCAATCCAGTTTAAACAACGAAAACCAGACACGCAAACCGAAACCATGGACGTCTTGGACCGCGGTTTCGGTTTTGGTTCTAGAATCGTTAACGCCCTAATATATAGCTGAGGTTCAGATATGGATAGTCACACACAGATCACCACTAAAATATCTAAGTAACGTTTTAATTTTGTCTGGCTTCTCTCAGAATTAACATTTCTGCCTCTAATCTGGCTCTGCCTCAGAGAGGAGTTTGTAACTTTAACATATCTACTGAACTAAAGCAGGCAGACATGCAGCAGACATTGAATTCAGGTTTCTGGCTGATGTGATGTGGCTCTTTGGCTTCACTCAGTGATTCTGCCTCCAGAACAGTGCTCTGCTCAGAGAAGTGTTTGGATAACTATAAATCCAGTCTGCAACTAATTAAAATTTTCCATGACTTTCCAAGCTGGTCATTAGTGCTTTTGACTGGATCCTGTGTTCAGGTGTGCTCCACACTAAAAACCCTGCCATCATTCAAAAATCAGGAGACCATGATTCGAAAAACTCCGACTGCAAAAACTTAGAATCTTGGCAAAGTAGACACAGAGCGTATGGGAAATATGCACATTAATAGTGTACAAGAGCAGAGGTGGGGATTGCTCTTTGTTTGATAGTGTTAACAGCGAGAGACTCAGCAGGTTCCAACAAGAACATTGCAGAAAAGAGATACACATTGAATAAGGAAACATCTGCATTCCACACAGCCTCTCTTGCAACACACTGAGGCTGAATGAACATCAAAGCATGGCACATCGCAGTAAATGCTGCACTGAAACCTGTGATTTATTAGCATTGCTACCCTGGGATGTTAGACTGGCCCATTTCAGCTTGGAGGGTGGAGAAGCAGACAGTAGTTCATTCACACAGCTCACTGCGAGCACATCACTGTAGAGGGATTTGGAAGATGTTTCAGGGTTATTGGGTAGAGTGTAAGTAACATTCCCCAGATTCTAAAAAATTACACAAATCCGATCCTCTGTAATGTGACCCAAATGCATCAAACCATTTCTCTACCATAAAGACTTGAGCACAAATTATTCTTTTTGTCAGTGTATGAAGGAGGGGAGCAAACAAGAAACGATTTTTTTTTAAAATCTAATCATGATATAGGAAAATTGGAAGTGAGTTGCAAAAGATTTGTAGCTGTTCAAAGATGCAACATTGCTATTTTTCTGGGTGATCAGTAGAAAACAAAAATGTTGATAATGGATAAGTAGCCTTCATTTTATAGCATTAAGGTATATATAAATTGGATTATTGTAAAGATCAAGGTCATAACTTGTTATCTTTGATAAGAGGCATGTTATTAAAGCTCTCACTTTACAGTAACCTTATGCCCCCTGTTGCCTACTTGAGTTTGGGATTTCAAACTTTATATTTACAAACAAAATATAAGGCAACTTATTAAAACAGGTTTTATTAATACACCTTGGCGTGTGCTCTATGGAGCGCATTCTAGTAATAGAAATAATTATTGACAGACATGTACATGCCATGATGATTACCATTACCAATACTGACTAAATGATCGTAACTGGTGTTTTTGATATGCATACTTTCGAACGCCTGACTTTAGAAGCAGATTATAACAACTTACTTAGTTAAAATGTTGCGGTTGCATATGAGACTCATTGGTAAGCTGGTTCGATGGTGAAAAATGTCCGCTTGTCACATAATAAATAACACTCGTTTGACTTATATTTGAGGTCATGGGTGTGTGTATGATGTACTTGTGATGTACTTACATGTACTTGTATAGATGTACATGTGACATGTGACAGCTGCTGCAGTGAGAGAGAGTGGAAGCAAAGCGTTGCACACACAGCAAATATATGGCTCTGCGGTTCAGCCACGCTGCTCTTCTAGAGATTCGGGGTCTCGTGGTTCACAGCTGAACAGACAGAGAAAGTGATCTTTCAGCACAGTTTCAATGTTTATCTGTCCAATATGTCAAGAACATGAGTCTTTGCTTCACTTCCTGAAGCCTATCCGTTTCAAAATAAAAGCACTCCGGGGTTTCTGTTGGCTGAATCCATTAATTTGTTTTTATTAAAAGGTTCATTAAAAGGTTTTTATTGTGAAGTATTTGCAGGAGCAGAAGATGCACAGCTTCATACTGGTTTATACTGGTATTCATTTGAGTGCACAGCACTACTTTTACACAAGGAAATACAGTAGTTATACCAGAAACCTTAGAAGGGCTGTAGTTATATTAAAAGTTAAAGAACTTCAGGTGATGAACAGTAGTCTCTCTCCCTCTATCTGTCTCTTTCTCACACACTCACTCACACATTTATAGCTATTTTCAGCGTAAACCCTATGTAAAGACATAGCGCTGGCAGTAGCAGCTCTGCTGCAGAATTCGAGGCTGAACCACAGCTGGTGTTAACAACTGACAACCGCGACTGCCCCACGTGTCATTCATAAAGTACAAATACAATACAAATCCTTATGAAATAAGGTATCATAATGTTTTTAACGGCTGGGTATCGCAATACCTTTCTGGTATCTGTATACCATGTAACACTACACTGCCCCCCACCTGACTCTATCTTACCAGTGAACAACAATGTCTTAATGCTGTTTATAATCTTCACTTCATCTTTCAACATCATGGTTCTTTAGAATTGTTGTATAGTCTGCTATAAATTAACACCTTGCTTTACAACTAGATCTTGACAGGCTCCATACTTCAGTTTGCAGATAACACTGTGGTGGTGGGTTGTGTCAGCAATAAAGGAGGTTCGGACTGATGTTGAAAAAGCAATCTGTCTCTGACTGAAAAGAACAGAAGAGATGGTTGCTGACCTCAGAAGAGCTCCCGATACACACACTCCTTTGAGGAACAGCAGCTTTGCAGTGGACACATCTGACACATCTGTAGCATAAGGTTCCATGGATTTGCCACAACAGAAGCCATCAACTGCTGCTATCCCACACAACACCACTGCTATGCCGTGTCTACACTTCCAGCAAAGACCGAGGAGGGCGGGCCTCTTCATTTCCATCCTCGCCACGTTCTACAGTGGGACCATAATGAGCATCCACTTTGGCTGCATCACTGTCTGTTTTGAAAACCGCAAATCCCTGCAACGGATAGTGAAGACACCTGAGAGCATAATCGAGGGCTCTCTACCATCCCAAAAAAATATTGCATCTTCCATGCAGCTTCCACTCTTCCCACCCAGACTTACACTACCAGATTCTGTAAGGTTTTGTTTCCCTCAAGCAAGTCCTTTAGCACCATCCACATATACAAACTGTATGTATAGTTTCATAACAAAGCTCAATTTAAACTTAACAAATCATTTGTGCTATGGACATCACATAACATCTATGGAGGTGGCTTGCCTTATAAACCATTAAATATCAGTGTGACCATATTCATACATCCTGAACCATCCAGTCCAGCTCTCTATGTCACTCACCTTGTTTCGTCCCACAGAATTTGGTGTGGTCAGCATATGGAGCATAGACACTCTTTGCAGAGCGTCGCTGTCGCAGCAGTTGGTGTTTAAGTCCAGAGAACGACTGTGATGGGTCGCTTTCACCCACAGGCTGGATGAACAGGCTGTCCTCCCCAATCTGGACGAGCCCAGTCTGTGCAAGAAAACAAAACGTGCAGAAGATTAAGAAAAGACTGTAGACATAGAGAAGTAGAGCAGAGTAGACAGGTTAAATTAGTATATAGTTAGAGCAAAGTGTTTAAATGTCAACAGTAAATAAAACATGATAAAGGTAACAGACATTATCTTGTTATAGCTAGCATAACTTTCTCATGATGACCAAATTATTAAATACAATAGAGATTCTGCTGATAGCGAGTTCAAAGTGTTTCCATTTCAATTTCATAGTCTTATTGAATACAATAAATAATAAATGTGAGAGTGCCATGGTTGATATTTAATATGCTATAGAATATTATTTATGAGATGTTTGTTTGTTTTCTCAGAAATCTTTAAAGCTGTAAAGATATTTTGTTCAAATCTTTATCAGATCATTCCCATTTATGTTGTGTAATGTGATGCATGTGCAATGCATGAACACAAATTCCTCAAAAAGTAGTTCAATTTAGCTCACATAGTAAAAGAGTCTGTTAAGTTGTTTCCTGGAAAAATCTTCCGCCACACGGATGAAACGGTTTTTGGATGAAAACCAATATCAACTGTGAGGTTAGCATCACAGCGTCACACAACACTCAACTCAAGACATAGTTGAATGGCAGCTTACACTTGGCAGCACCATGTTGTACAAAGTCACAGCAGTCAATGAAGTCAATCAATCAATCAAGATGTGGACTGAACATTAGTGATAGCACACCACTCCCCATCGTATTGTGTAATGAAGTGATAGTGGGATTGTCTTTTCTGTGTGTGTGTGTGTGTGTGTGTGTGTGTGTGTGTGTGTCAGTAAATAGGAACACATCCTCAAGATTCATGGCTTTGCTATCTCACAAACCTGTGATTCTCACCATATAGCACCCTACATATCTTTACTGTTATCTGGGACTAATTATGGTTCCCATGGAAATATCTTATCTTATGTTGGTGCCAATCCCGATGAACCAAGGGCATGAAAATATCAACATAAGCATTGACGGTTTGACAAAGTGATTTGGGATATTTACAGAACAACAAACAGACAAGCAAATAGAATGAAAAGACCTTCACTCTGACTGAATGTGGATGGCTGTCATACGTCGGACAATCACAGGGGCTTCTTACAGTGAAACGTTATGTACACACAGAGAAAAATTCTGTCGTGTCATGAGTAAGTCATTGACAAAAATGCTTATCATACCAAAATAATAGTAAAACAACAAAAAAGAAATGGTGTGTACATTCCTGTACTAGAGGTATCGTTTATAGTTTTACTTGGTATGTGGTTAGCTTATCTGAGCATAACTGGAGGCAAGGGAAAAGATTTATCCAAAGTGAAAGCAGATAAGAAAAGTGTATTTTTTTTAGTAAAGTTAATGTTTTCTTTACTTTTTTTTTAATGTATTTGTCAACAGAAGTACAATACAGATTCAAAGAGAAGATCAACTAGAAAACACAAAGCACACTTTTTTAATTTGCAAGTATTTTTCCAGAGAATAATAATTCTAATTATATTGGCCCACATTGGTAAACAAATAATAAATTGACATTGATTGGACACATATTATTTGAAAAACCTGCACAACTCCTACAGCTGTGTCATCAATGTAAGGCTTCCAGGTTTGGCACCAACACACTGAGACCAAAACCTGTGCTCACTGTATCTGGCAGCCTGTGTTATAGCCAGAGTTCCTGGGTGAATGGATAAACTCATGTTTGCCAAAGAATGTTCCAGCACACAAATCCCTCTTAAACCCCAAACTGTAATTTTTACATTTCTGTTTATTTGCATGGTTTATATAAATGAGATACGTAATGCACCCTTTTCACAGCAGACATTTGACTTGTCACAGCAGAGAAAGCCATAATGAGCCTGTGTTCACAACACCAGAATATGATAAAGTCTTCAGTCTTCATGTTAAAGAGACTGATATCAATCTTACTCTTACCCTCTAATGGAAGATGCTTGTTTGTCATTTCTTATATATTCAAAACAATAAACACTCTTCAACCTGCGTCACTGTTGTTTTTATCTGAAATCATCATAACTCATAAAACCAACCACATGCACCCTTGATATGATTCCTACCAAATTTTCTGAAGGAGGTTATTGACACAGTTGGGCCCAGTATTGAACGATTCTTAATTGTTCCCTCAAAGAGGGAATCTTTTCTTCCAGTTTTAAACAGGCTGTGGTCCAACTTCTTTTATAGAAACCTAACTTTGATCCCTCTGTTCTTAACAACTTTAAGCTTCTAAACTTCAGTTTTCATCAAAAGATTTAGAAAAAGTGTCTTTTATTTGTCATACTAACATCTTTGAGAAATTTCAATCAGGTTTTACAGCATTGGACAGTACAGAAACTGCCCTTGTCAAAGTCACCAATCGGTCACCATAGGTAAACACATCCTCTACAACGATATCGTTACCAGTGATGTACCATGAGGTTCAATTTTAGGCATGATGTTATTTTCTATTTATATGCTTCCTCTTGGCCAAATCATCCAATGCCACAATGTCTCCTTTCACTGCAGATGACAGACAGGTATACCTTCACTGAGACATGATGACCCTGAAGGCCTAGCTGCTTTGTTAGACTGTCTTAATGATATCAACAGTTGGATGGCACAAAACTATTTAACAACTCAAAGTCAGAAATAATATTATTCAATTCACCTAACCCCACCACTCAGATTTAACTCAGCCTTGGTACCTGATCCATCAATGTTAGGCCTGTTGCCAGAAACCAACGAGTACTGTTTGACCAATCCATCACTTTTGACCCACAAATTAAAAAAGTAGTCCAGTCCTGCTTCCTACAAATCAGAAACATCTCCAAGATCAAACCAATACTTTCACACCCGGAATTGCAAAAAGTAATTCATACACTAGTCTTCTATAGACTGGACTACTGTTTCTCCCTCCTCTCTGGCATAAGCCAAACGTCACTATCCCGCCTCCAACAAGCTCAGAACGCAGCAGTTAGGCTTCTCACTGGTCTTAAAAGGCAACATCACATCACCCCAGTGTTTGCTTCTCTTCATTGGCTCACTGTCCATTTTAGAATAGACTTTAAGATTTTACCCATCACTTTAAAAGCACGCCAGATTCTGGCCTCAAGCTACATCACAGAATCACTGACCCCCTTATTTGCCTGCACACAGCATTGGATCCTCAGGTGTTTCAAAGTCGAAGTTGAAAACAAAAGACTGGCCCCTCGACTCTGGAACGGCCTACCTGAGGAGATAAGGCTCACTGAGTCAGTGACTTTATTTTAAAGCACTTCTTAAAACCAACTTTTATAGACTTGCTTTCATGTGATACTGTGATTTTATCATTTTCTTTTTACCTTTACCTTTTATTTTACTTTTAAATTTCACTTTTTTATAGGCATT